ATTGATTGCAAAATGGTGAAAAAAACTAGTCACTACTGGTGACTACGTGCAGATCTGTTCGCTTCTGTTTGCTTCAAGTTTACTCGATCACGTGTCGGGGGAAATGATTCTTAGTCTGAAAATTTGCGTCTGCAAATTAATTATTAATTTCCTTGCGTCTGCAAGAGAATTTACTCACGCTTGAGATTCACTGGAATTGTGTATTCTAATATCATATTTTAGAATATCTCGTGAGTGTAATTTTTCTTCTATTGCATATTAATGACCGCGAGAAGATATGGTCACGTTGATCGGACAGAAAACATTATATAACCATGTGATCTTGCTTCTTACGACATCTCGGCGCTATCTATTTTCCCCCTGCCGTTTCAATCGTTCTAAGGCACTCCTGTTTCTAATAATTAATCTGAGAGACTAATGAGAATAATCTAATAACAACGTTAATAAAGAGTTGATAACGCGTTAAAATTGTACGTTTTCTTTTTAGTATTTCGCATTAAGCACAACAGTGTTCAATTTGAAATCGTGTTTATGAGTGTTTGAACGCAAATGTAAAATTCAGAGTTTCCTATTCGTTTCACGAGCGTTCCACGTAATTCTTTGCATTCAAATAATCCCATAAACGCACGAGTATCCACAACTCTACTGATAACACTAATTCAATCGTGCAAAAAGGCGTGCAGAAACGTGCAGAAAAAGATATATCCATCGATATGTGCAAGTAAGGAGAATTTTATTTTTTTAATTTAAAATTCTATCCGCGTCGCGAGTGGTCTGCGGCTGACAGCTTAAGTCAGAAATTTATCCGGAATGTCGTTGAGGTCGCTGCCTTCGGAGAAGGACTTGAAACGCGGCAACACGCGGATTCCAATTTTGAATTAGGAAATTAATAACGAACGATGATGGGTTCGTTTATCATTACACAGTGAATAATGCCTTTTACCCAAACTTTTTCGTTTTCCGTGCGGTCCGTCGCACCACGAAGGACACCGGTTACGCAAATGAAGAAGATGGCGCAGAAGATATGAGAGATACGAGGGAAGACATCGCCAACTTTTTGACAGTTACCAATCCCCTGAAACAAATCCCATCTCTCGCGACTTCCTCTAAATTTAAATCCACAGTTTCCTTCAACTGAACGTTAAATCTCTGTGGAATAAAAGCTTCTTATCTAGAAAGTGCGATACGTAACGAAACGATGCATTGTTTTCTTTTCAACAATCCGTCACACCGATTTCTCCATCTCGTTCGTTTTTCAGTTTCTTGCTGGCTCTACGATTTCCTAATTGACTGCAATTTTGAAACGAGCTATGTGCTGATTCTAGTGCCTCGTGTAATTTCACTTCGTGTAAATCTGTTTTTATTTCTCCGTACAATGCATAATGTCGCTCAGTGATGTAACCATCGTATTTTCCATCAAATTTCATACTCTTAAATGTTGCATGTAGAATGTAGACAGAGTGTCATGTACTTTTATACAAATCAGAGGAAACAGAGAACACTTTTCTTGTTATATTACACTTTACCAACAATTTGACCAAAAATTGCATAAAAATTTTATTATATTCATCGGATACGATAATTATTGTATTAAAGTACGTATAACAATACTCTATTGTACGGAAATTGTTATAATAAAATATATGTATCTTAATACGTGTTGTATTGAAATATAATAATACATATTATATTTATAATTACATATTATATAATACATATTATATAATAATACATATTATATTTTATAATATCTATGTCAACATATATTGCATCATACTATATTATAAAATTCCAAGTATCGTATAATGAAGACAGTGTTATATAACATTAAAATAACCGAAGCCGACGCAATCATACTGACAAGATAATAAAAGAAGGAAGTAAATTGTACGCAACAGAAACTGAGATGAATGAACTCTGTGAAAGATTAATTGAAAGTCGCTGACTCGAGAGAATCTAAGCGTTATCTAAGTACGTAATTATCGAAGATGTTATCGAATCAAACAGCACACGATTCGCTGATCGCCCGTTACTCGCGAAGAAAGGAGAACTCTTACTTCCTTACTACACGTACACGTGCTATCCCACTGCTATTAAATCATGTTACATTGCTGGCGTGGCATTATCCAGACGAATATGCCTCGGGCGTGCTTCCGTCTCCCGATATAAATTTTCGCGATTTCCCTTTCTAAGGCGCGAGTCGAATGATTCTTATTGCACGACGATTCGAATAGAACCTACCATTAGCGAAATTCGTGATCCATTGATATTTTTCATTTGGCGATAGTTCGTTCCCTTGGCTTTTGAAAGTACAATACTCACTCTAGCCTTTCCTCGAGTTTTTAGTCGAAGAATAAATTTCCTGTGTACGAATGTCCAATTTCCCTAAGTTTTTACGCGTATTTTAATAATTACTCGGAAGCCAATAAATTTGATAATTATTCATTCTCACGTGTATTTCAACTTTTTATAATTATTTCGAAACATTTGCAATTACTCGTATAGATTAAATGCCGATTCTTCGCTTTTTTCACCAATCTTGCTTCAGATTTTTTTAGCAATAAATTTCACGTGACTCTATACTAAAATAATATTATAAATAATTCGATATTAAAGGATACGTTCACTCTATGGTTTCATAATCTGACATTATGCTGATGGGAGAAATTAATGTGTTGAACAAGAGTATGTGCTAATAGAAATCGCGAACACTATGCGTTAAGCGTTCGAAATGAAAGTTGTTTCACAAACGTGCCTGCGATTTTTGCGACCGATCGAATCTTATAACACGTACGTTTTTGCATTTCCATTATTACGTATTCACCGGGTAAATAAACTTTCTTTCGTATATTCTGTGCACTGCTTGCTGAAAAAGAATTGCAACACCTTCAAAACAAAACTATTCTACATATTCTCTCTATTCTATCTATAATTCGCAAAAAGATAAATATCGAGTTCGAATTAATGATTACTTTTGCTTTTGAATTTTCAGCAACTGAATTGAATTTTTAATCCTTTAAATAATTAGTATTATTTTGGTCAGCATTCTCTAATTTTCTAATCTGAAATTTTGATTTTCCTTTGCCCGATTTCCAAATCTGTGCAATCTATTTGCAATAATTTTCAAGTGACGCAATTTTTTTTTACAAGCAATATATGAAGTCAAAGTCTTCAATCGGCGAGAGAATTTATTCTTTAGAATATAATTATCATTGCACTATTAACTAAATTGTTTCAGTGACTGAAAGTTTTGACGCGGCTTACACTGATTGGCTTCTGAGCTCTCCACACATATATAATATTTCTCATCGATATTAAAAAAAAAAACCAACGATCCTATTCTGTTAACAGCGACCTATCATTTTCTGTTAATCTTCGCCGGTTTCGTATTTCTTGGAATCTCTGCTCGAACGAGCAGCTTATCCAGTCATTAAACGTTGGAGCAACCCTTGAAACTAAATCAACAGTCCGAGCACGAGATTAGTCGGTTCTCAGGAACAGAACCGCTAACAGAAAAAAAAAAAAGAAAAAAATCAGTGGAAATGGACGGTTAATTTGCTAAAAACTTAATTACCTTCGTTATTTATTGCGCAAGCAAGCAGTAACAACGTCAACAGATAATTGAAACAATTACAGTTCATTAAGTTTTTGCCATTATATTGACATCGACAGTTTTGCACGAATGAATATGTGTTTTTCTTAATGGTAACCAAATTATACAGTGCACAAGGAATAAATGATTTAAAAAAAAATATATTTTAATGTTGTTTAAAAAAGAGTTATATTCGCGGGTAATTTACACAAACAGTTGTGAATATTAAACTATGGAACTCGCAGTACGTTTTATAAGTATTAAAGAAGTGCATTTGTATCATTTTTAAATATTAAATATTAATATATGTATAATACGTTTCGTATGTTTTGGATATTTTTGCTCGTTATATATGCATACATTAAAATTTCTCATAAACATTCGTTGTCTAATTGCTGTAGAGAAGGAAACAAAGGGATCGAGATCGTTTCACTTCCTGGAAATTTTGAAACAATGCGTTATTGCACTATACACTGAAGTAATAAGAAGCATTTTCCACGATAATGCGGGAGAAATTGCTAGATTACAGTGTGGCGTAGGTGTGGTGGAGATTTCACTATTGTAGGAGATTGCTCAATCTCTGTTGCTGCAGTATCATGTCCCTCCCTTTATCAAGGAACGGGATTGCCATGATTTCAAACAAAATAAATTTCTACCGAGACATGTTGCGTTGAACATGACGACGAAAATTTATAAAAAAATATATAGTGTCACAAATATATGGACGATATCATTTTCTTGGTTATTATAAAATCATGCACGTGCCTTCCTTCGTCGAAGAAGGCATTATGCAGACTGAAATCTCACATACGAAACACACTGAAATATTATAAATGTTGGATTACATTTATATTGGTTCTTTTCTGTTGATTATGAAATCACAACGTACCAGGTGTGCAAATTTATTCGGAGATTTGCAATTTTTATTTATCGATAATATTATTCATATTTAAGCAATTTTATTCAACTATTTCGTTGCAAATTCATTTGACGATATCTTAATTCCTGCATTGTACTATAAACTCCAATCATCAAAATACTTTTATTCTATTCAACTACTTTCTCGTTCCTTGTTACTCAGCGAAAACAGAGTTATCGAAAAAAAATCAGAAGGCATCGGCTATCGGTTTAGGAATCGATCGACTTCAATTTTTATAGTTTTCTTGACTACTAATGTCTAAGATAAATTTTGGAAAGTAACATTTCCATCATTAATCATTATTTCTTATTCTGCTACTTCCAGGCTGATCGGTACAGCCTCTGAGTGGCTCGTATAATTTTACATCGCGTCCTATGAAACACAGAAATGTTTCGACCGAGTTGTAATTGTAATTTTGGCGATAGACAACCCCTAAATTTAAACACAGCCACATGTGTCCAACTTATTTGCATTCCACGGCGAAAGAACATGACTCGCTGGATAAGAACCGGCGAAAGGATCGAACCGAAAGCAGAGCATTATCCTAGGTCCTCCAGGAAGGAGCAAGCACAGCCAACTCGGAGGAGCGTTCGTGCGTCGTCGGTTCGTCGATTTGTGCCACAATCGATGTACAACTTTCTCGCTCGTAGATTTACAAACACGGAAGAAGCCTGAAAGCAGCCTAGGAGGTTCTCCAGTGATCGCAGTGCACGTAGATACGCGCCAGCGTTCGGACAAGCGTTACGTCCTTGACAAAGCAATCCTGTTCGACCAGTCGAGCTCCGGTTCTCCAGGGTAAGTACCTTTGCAAACCTTCCGATCCTCTCAGTTGCGTTTCAACTTCACTGCATATTCTCGTCTTTTGTTCGTTTGTTCGCTTACATACATCTCTCGTCCATCTCTAACTACGGTTACGTTGTCTTTCGAGTTGTCTTTCGCAACTCAAGATCCCTCGCCGAGTGAGTATTGATCGTCATATCTTTAATATCTTTACAATTTTTTCCTGTCGAATTTATTTTACACTCTCAAAGGTCTATTATTAGTCGTTTATAAAGTGGAAAGTTTATCCCGCTGATTTGGGAAATTTCATGGTTGAAATTTACTCTCGTTCTCACGAACAAACATGCTAAATTTGATTTCACTTTGACCTGATTTGAATATAATCTTGACTCGATTTAAATTTGACTCGAAAAATCGAAACGAGAAACTACGTATATCCAGTAGTGGCCACTTCATCTTATTCGTTGAAGCTAAATAAGATAGAAAACGAGTGATGGAACACGGCAAGATTAATTTTGAATTTTTATACCGTTTTAACAAGATTTTATTCGACGAGAATCTTGTGGTATTAAAACAATTGATGAAAGGTTGGGGAAAAGTGCAATTTCTCTGCCTTTCTCAAAAATAATTTACGGACAAACGTGCAATGCAATTAAATACAATGAAGCGTTCGTACTTCCGCAATTATCGCGATATTAAACTGTTTTCATTCATAAAATTATCTTCTACATAAAAGCAGCAATCCATTTTGATAGAACAAATGATTGGATTCAATAATTACGAAAATTGTTTAACTCTTTACTTTATACGAATTACACGAATTCATAAATCAAGCAACCTCGCTAACATTTCTGTGAATTTGGCACACGATGAAACGAAGGAAAAAAAGTGTCCCCGGCGAAAGAATCATCGAACGATATGTACGCAAATTGGAACAATTGTAAATTCTGATTGACTCGTTGAACGATCAGTTTACTTACGTAGCACTCAACATATTTGCGGCAATTATCTGTATGAGTAGGGAAAGTAGTAATGAAGCGCTCTTATGTAGAGAGAGATGCGGTGAAATTGCATCAACGAACGTAACGAAACAAATTACTGTACCTGTATCTAGCGTGAACCGTGCATACCATTAGGACTGAAATGATAAAACTCTAAATTGAAAGATATCGCCGCTGAGATTGAAAACGAAAGGTACTTTTACTCGTCAGCTCACTTGAAAATTTCATTCGTGCGACTTGCAATTTGAGGGAAATTGCGAGGAAAGTTAAATTGCATGCTCTGCAGATTTATAATAATTATATTTACTGTAAAATTCTACAGATAAATATTAATATGGCGGAAACACCAGATTGAAAAATCTTCAAATTAAATCGTCGCCAAGAGTTTAAGTTGAAAATGAAAGATACTTTTATCTACTTGAAATTTCATTCGTGGGAAGTTAAATTGCATTCTCTGCAGATTTATAACAATTACATACTCTATTCTATAGATAAATATTGAGCTTATGTATTTATATACGTAAGTAAATTTCTAGAAAGTAATTCAGATTTCTTCGCGTAATTCTGAAGAGCCGTATACCTCGATTTGGAATGATCGAAAATAATGCCCAAACGATAGAAAGAGAGTATTTACAATTTCATTCACAAGCACTTTGAACGAGCTCTGAGGCCTGCGTTTGAAAATATCTGGGAAACTAATTGATTACAGCAGGAATTTAAAACAACATTTACTTAAAAATATCGCACATGTCTTGGTTGAAAGTTCCTCAACCAGACAGAAGTGGACATAACAAGCGTCAATATCGTTTCGTAATATGATTGACTTGTCGACATTTCAAGTAAATAACAGCTCGACGATCGAAAAGTAAACGTTCATCGTATTATATCACTTTTTGTGACATACGATCGAAAGTGGAGTTCTCTTTTTTCTGGTACAAAGTATCGTGAATTGCATTCTCAGCGTGGGACCGCAAGTATTTATAGAACGCCGAGTTGTATCGAGGAAGTAGCACTGGCTAGAAACGTTCGTTCGGTCGGTAAGATTCTTACTTTTACTTTCTCCTGCCTCTGACACGTGAATCCCGGTACACCCACGACAAAAAAGTCGCGCACAACTGGTACAACGAGAACGTGGCGTGGTTGTTAGTGAAAGCATCGAGCCGTGGATGTGCAATAGGATGACCATGACACATTTCGCAACCTCTGGCTAGCGTGGTATCGGCGTGACTCGCCAACGATCGCTGCAATCGCTGCAATCGCTGCATGCGAGCTCACGCATCTAATTTGTCCGCCGTTAAACGCTCGTGGAGCAATTCTAACGCTGCGTGCTTTCATTACGGTGGAGCTACGGAAGATAATGAATGATAATAGAATTCTATTTTTTTGCGCAGAAATCGTAGGGGGCGAAAAGGAAAAACTAAACGCTTTGCTAGAGAGTGATAACAAAAATTGACGATAATAGCGCGTGGAGAACGTTCTGAGACAATCTGTACATTCAGAAGTTCACGTTTAAATAAAGCAGGAGTTCATTTTCTTCCAGTGAATAGGATTCGGATGAAAAAATGATTTTCTTATTACTTATGTACGAACACCCTCTTTCGTACATTGGCAATGTTGGAAGTTCAGGCTAGTTGATTCAATTGGCGGTTCATTTTGTTTCAATCGATAGAATTCAGATTGTTGGATGAATTTAGATAAACGTCCAAATGGAAGTGACGAAATTCTCCTCAAATATCTTGGAAAAGTAATAAGCAATGACTGGGATGCGGATTTCATGCATAATACTTGAATAAAATATTTAAATATATATACAATATTACTAAATACTATATCACAATATAATGTATTATTGCAATGCATATAGTAAATAAAACAAGTTTCTCTCAGGTTCTGTTTTATTTCTTTAGTAACGTGTCATAAAAATTGTAAAATGCATAAAATTCCACATTCTATTAGTAATTGTCTTTATTAAATATTTATATATTACTTACTCACTTGCTTACGTATTAGGAATTTAAATTGAGCAGAAACTTGCTTTGTTATTATCTCTACGCAACAAGAATTAATGAACTCGAAGAAGATTCTGAATAGCAATTCAAGTGGGAAATTAACCAGTTTCAACCTTTCAGATACATTGAAACGATTCGTAACCGTAATACATCTACCACTTTCGAGCAGCACTCTCGAGATTATTTATTTAAATGGATAGGACTTCTATCCCGTTAGTTTCCCAGTAATTGACATATTGCTAGAAATCGACCGGGGTATCCGGAAACTTACGACCGGTAGCGTTTATCAAACGAACGAGGAGATGTTCTTTGAACCATAGTATCCGTTGACCCGTAGAAACCCAACGATAGAACACCTCCACCCACCGAGCTATCTCCACCGAGTTTCACTGCGATACCACCTATCCTTATTTTTATACAGCCTGCACTTTCTTCCTGTCCGCAGAGAAATAAAACGGTCCGTAGAGAACGGAAGATCAGTTTCTTTGCCAGTCGGACATCGTTGTACGTTAACAGGGACTTGCTTAGTTGCATTACGCTTTTACCTATAAATCTAAACCGTTCCCAGTCTGCCAGGTAATACTTCACGATGCACGGTGCAAAGTCTGTCAACCGTGTCCAAGGAACCCTATCCAACCAATCCATCGGCGATTGAATCGACCTTGGTGTTCCTTAGCCGCTACTTGATTCATACATTAATGCAGTCGCCGGTATTCAAACTGTGTAAGCCCATAATTTTCAACTTTCTCCACGTAGTACAGCCTCGCAAGGAGTATCGAACTATCTACGACGGGTTTTCTTCTTCTTCTTTTTTCTTTCAAACGGCAGACGATCACGATCATCTGATAAAAATCAGTGTTGACGCGATTGAACGGCCTGCTTTCTGAGATTTGGAAAGTTAGCGTACAATGTATGAAATTTGATACAAGTATGAAATAGTTGTTACATTTTTTCCGCGAGTCGATTCTTTCGAAACCTTGTACATGCTGTTTCTTTTTTTTTTTTTTTTTTTTTTTCTTTTATGGAGTATCTTGAACTTTAGACGTCTGTTCGATTTGCATGTTAAAAATCGCCATCTTAAAAATAACTACGCGACCTTGATAGCACGATTATAAATAGATTGTCTTGAATAGATTCTTCAGCGCACGTAGGTTAAGATATGGACGTTTACGCGCTTGTGTGGGATTTAAAGGTATAAAACTGCAATATATTATAAAAACACAATGACTGGAGGCAAGTTTTGTGAACGTATTATGTGTGTCATATATTTTTTTCTAAACTTAATTTTAAGCATTTATGAGAATTCGAAATATTAAGTAATTTTAAAATTCACAAGATTTCCGAGTTTTATGAATGTTTAAGTATTAATAAAATTGAAAGATGTTGCAAGAAATCTGCTGCAAAATATATAACAGTAAGAAACTGATAAAAAGCATGAATAATGCTAAAAATAATTCTACAAATTAATTACGTGGATGTATTGATAGCATTTATGAGAATTCGAAATATTAAGTAATTTTAAAATTCACAAGATTTCCGAGTTTTATGAATGTTTAAGTATTAATAAAATTGAAAGATGTTGCAAGAAATCTGCTGCAAAATATATAACAGTAAGAAACTGATAAAAAGCATGAGTAATGCTAAAAATAATTCTACAAATTAATTACGCGGACGTATTGATACAGTGAAATAATTCAAATACTTTAATGATCTCTATACAAAGTGTATAATTGCAATCAATACTTTGCAACTTCCATGCATATTGTAAATTTTAAACAAGATAGCAGTGTCTCATAAAAAAATGTTTATATGTATATATCTACATAAAAATGTTCCACTTACGTGTTCAGATACATTCTTGAGTCACTATAAAATATATAAAGTTCAGAGACAAGGCTTTGCCTAGGTTCTATTTCTTGAATCGCGTTCCTAGATCTATGGAATTTCCACAAGCATCGACAGCTTGTTACGCGAATTTTATAGCGTTCACCATTTCCATTTGCAAATCTAATTTCGAAATGTCTACAACGTAGATGTTACTTATTCATTCGAAACGCGATGACGCGCGTGTAGAAGAATTCACGTTGCTATTATCAGACAGTATCGAAAAAATAATTGAAGAAATAAGACGAGGTATCGCAGCCTATAGAATGCAAGAGTATACGTACACGCTGCATAGAATAAGAAAGTAGGATCGATTTCAAGGAAAGGAAAAGGGAAATTCACAACTAGCATTAAAGCCTCGAAACGTCGATTCTTGGGGGATAATCATTTAATTAGGAGTTAGCTAAATATTCCAATTTTTGTCTCGTGATTACACTACAGATGATGCTTATGCACTCGCAAAAAGTTGAAATGTGCAATAACGTCGTACGAAATATCCAAAGTGACGATACTTTTAAAATGTCTTAAATCTTATCTAAGTTATTAACACTGCGTTAATAAATATCTCATCCAAGTATTAATGTGTGAAACAAATATTTACGTAGTTTTTCCATTTCTTATAATTATTGTACCATACTTGCAGCATAGAATCTGTAATATTTAGATCATAAAATGTTAATACACGAAATTACGGGATTTCTAAATTTCTGAATCCGTAGTCACAGCCATATAATATTAATTCACAAAAGATACGATCTTTTCGTGTGCAAATTCTTTCGAAATGTTTGTTTAAACGATCACCTCTGAGGTACGAACGCTCTCAGATATAAATAATGTTGAATTACCATCGATTCAAAAATATGGAAGGTTAATAAGTCTATCACTTGATACGACGGCGGAGAGTGGCGCGATTGTTCCCTGCGGGAACGTAGGGCTCTCAAAGGTGAGGCCGCAGGTAAAAGGAAAACCATGGTGCACTTCGAGTTCATGCAACTAGGCCGGCCCCTGGTAGTTACAGCCAGTTGCACCACCGATCGGCATCGCTGCTGGATCGACTCTCGTGGTTCTATAAAACTCTTTCTTTCCGCGACAATCCTTTTCCACCTAACGGACAGTAAAAAAAGAAAAAAAAAGTCCAGCTAAGATTGGCGAAAATTATTTATTCGAAGAATCTCGAACAGATGCCCCTGTGTCGAAGGAATCGAAACAGTGTTGCCTTTTGCAAGAAAAATTCGAGTATATATCACTTCGACAGTTCGTTGTTCGCTGAAAGACAAGTGTTCTGCAAGATTGTCTTGTAAAATTAGAAAATCGTGGAGCGATCGTGAATCAGCGACGGTTCTCGTTAGAATGTATTTTTGAGAGAGAAAGTTACGTCGATTGTGTTCCAGCTAGGTGAACAATAGTTGGCTGAAAATCTTCGCAGCCGAAACGTGTTGTTACGGAGGATAGTGTGCAGGAACCGGAAAGATACTTCGTGTGCGCGTCATGTGATCGTCGAACCATGTCGGTAATCGTTTGACGTTTAATACACGCCGGTGTCACGTTGACGGTGGTAGGTTTAATAAAAAATGAGAACAAATGGATAAATTTCACTAAACAAACTGATACGTTTCATGAAGAGAATAAGAAGAAAAATGATCAGCCTTTAAAAGGACTTAAAACTTTATTAACACAATTTACACCAATTCCAGAATGATTTCAAGCGTTTAGGTTCTTTTATAATATTGGGTATGCACAGAGTGAGGGTCGCTGACTGCTAATTTCAAGAAATAGGTGAGGTGATATGAGATTAAGAGATTCGGAGAATGGCTGAAAGTCTGTTTTTTATCGGTGAGAAAAAAATTTTTTAAATTGCTGACTGCTGACACTGGCTGCTTAATACATCTCTTTTGTTTGCGTTGTTATTGTCGCAAAGATTTATCATTAACTGAGTGAAAAATAAATGCTGAGAATAATATATGTACTTCCCGGTGACAACACTGGGAATGAATTTTATATCGTTGCTGCGTCTTTATTGATTTATTTTCGCCAATAACGTACAGATCGATCGAGAGTCCATCAAACTTTCAGGGTGTATTAAAACAATATTAGAAGATGGATTGATTCCTCGAAATGTTAATATTGATTTATTCATTGAAACGCAAGCTAACGTCTTAAAATATATAAATTATTTATTTAACCCGATCTCGGAGAATGGATTAATGTTTTGACACTTGAAAACTACGAAGCTGAAGTAAATCCGAAATCGTCACGTCTCGTTTCAAACTGTGAATTATTCTGAAACGTTTTCAAAGTTTTCTTCAAATTTGCCAGTTTATTCTTGGAAAAAACGAGCTTGAAACAGGTTAATCGAGATAATTGGAAATTTGAAAACAAATCAACTCAAAATACCTAAAAAAAAAAAAAAAAAAAAAAGAGAGTCATCAACCATCGATCTGATTCCAAATTGAAATGAATTAAATGGATTGAATCACGAACGACGCCAAATCAACGACCTTGATGAAAAAATCATTCAGTCAATTAATAAATACTCCTCGTGATAATCCTCCAAATCTTCAGCACGCGGGAAAGAAAATTAGCAAAAAGAGATTTGACAAGAGGAGGAGGGAGGGGTGAGAGGACAAAAACGAAACCAAACGAAAGCTGGCCGCGAATTGCGCGCGGTCGATCGTTACCGGCTGACGGTCACGCTGTTAGGTTATCTCTGGACCGGCGTTGCTTCGATCCTCGTCGCCCTGTATCGAACAGTGCAGCGAGTGTAGCGAAACGTGAATCACGCGAAATCACTGCATCATGCCACAGGGTAGCGAGGAGCTGTCGAATGGCCGGATCGACGGTGGAAACTTGAAGAGAGAGATTCACCTCGGCGAGGATTCGTTGAAGAAGGGCGACGTCGATGTGGGAAAGTGTTGCAACGATTTCGACGGTATGCCGGAACTCAAGGACGATCAGATACAGTTGAACAGCGACGAGGAGGTCTCGCTGGATCTTGGAGAACCCTCGCCGGAAGTAATGGAGTACGCCAGAAGGGAGCTCGGCGAGACGGACGACGTGAAGTGCAGAACTCTTCAGGAACTGAGGGACATGATTTACGGTAATTATCATGTTATGGACGCGATACTTGCTAAACAGGCGGCTAAACACGCTTACGAATGTATTTGGATATTTGTAGAATGCATCTACGATGTTTGCATGTTTCGAAACGCGTACTACGGGATATCGTAGAAGTTGCAGGATAGACATTTGCTGCAGCAGTATGCAATTTTGTAGAAATTAGGAGGACGCAAGGTTGAGTAAATAATCTTCTGTAATTATCTTCTTTATTATCTTCTTTAGGAACAGGATGGTATAATCATTGTCCCCTGCTCATATTTAAGTTAAATAGTTATGAATCATCTTGACAAGTCAGAGTATTTAATGAAACTTTTAATAACAATTATACGTTAATCATTATTATTACGTTTGTTTGGAACGAGTGACTTGTAGCTTCTATGGATATTTTCATTTCGTTTTCAAATTTTACCGACACGCTCGCTTAACTAGCTAAATAAAATTTAAACAGCGGCTGGTTTCAGCGTATTGCAAATACGTGATAAACAATTTCAATTCGCAATGCAGCAATTTCATTTAAAGTTCAGCTCGATGTAGTCTCCGAGAGGCTTATCTCGTTAATTAAAGAGATATTTATTCAAGGTGGTCGAGTAAGTACGAGCGTTCTTTCTCTACGCTGGGAATTCTATGTTTTACAGAGAGGGGAGAATGTTTGCCGCACAGGATGGATGATGACTTCTTGATTAGGTTTCTAAGAACGAGGAATTTCAACGTCAACAGGGCGCATCGATTGGTAAGTTTCATTAATATAGCGAATCTGATACAAAATTTTTATAACACGAGTACCTAGCTCGTTCATTTCTTCAAATTTTTAATTTCTTCTCTCTTCCTAATTTCGTAGTAAGTGAGTATGTCATAATTATTAGACATAATTATTAGACAAGTTTCCTATTCATGAAATATAATTATAGCTAGAATTTATCGACTGAGATAAGATAATTTGAGAGCTGGTAGCGCAGCGGCATGATTTGTAAAACGAGTCCGGCTGCAACAATTGCACAATCGTGTCAAGGAAAATGAACTAACTAAATAGAAAATATCGTGAGAACTCTGATGTTATTTGCTCGAGTCTACCACTTTTCAAACCACTAGCGGTCAATTTTTCGAATTAAATGAAACTTTTTTATATTCTCTTTAAACTCATTGAGAGCATCGTCTTGAGATGCAAAATGGTGACAAAAGCAATTGTCAAACAAAGGGACAAGCTACGCGTCAGCCGATTACTTGCGCGATCAAGTTGAATCAAAGTTCATTTCGATTGTGGAAAGCAAGAGAATAGAACGATCGAATTCCCAATGGTTGTTAATCAATTGCTCAATTAAGTGACCAATTATTCGACTTTCCAGAGCTGTCTTCGCGTCGTTCAGGATCGAAAGTAAATTCTCGAAGTAAACCAGTGAAATTTTCATAATGACTTGATCAAAGAATTCTGTTACGAAATTTGCTGTTATTTTCCAATGAAATGCATTTTCATCAAGTTCTACGTTTTATTTCCATGGTCTTAAAGTTTTATAGTATCATTATATATTGAAATATTATTAAATGATACGAAATTTAACATAATTAAATTTAATTAAGGTTAATAGGCTTCATAACCTTAACATTCTAAAGGATTTCAGCCAAACTTATTTCAGTATTTCCATAAATCCTACTAATTATTCAAACGTGTTGAAAGCCGTCAATTTTGGCCGCTTGTGAAAATAGAAATAACACGAATATCGGTATTTTTCTATTTATATTAATATCTTCTTAAAGCTCTAATATTGCCTTTTCTTTTCATATATTCATGATTGGACGAGTCAGTGAAAAATGTATTTCACAAATTAAGAAAATTCAATTATCAATTAGAATAAGCCGATTCATTTTCTTCCTCTCCTTTTTAAAGTCGTCAAATAATGCAGTATTTACTTTTTCCTTAAAAAAAAAAAAAAA